TCAGTTTATTCAAGACCCAGGCTGACTTGAAGGGACCCTTTCTCATTTCAGCAACCTCCTTCTCAAATTGTTCTTTTGTCGATGCCACCATATTTGTAGAGTAGATGGCCAGTAGTAGTGGGGACTTGCCCATATCTGCATGTTCAGTGACAACAAGGTTGATGTGAGTTTTTTTTCCCACATTGGCTTTGGTTCCACAACACCTGTTCTCTGGGGGCAAACTCATTGTGGAAAAGCTCTCATTTTCTTTAATGATGTTACTTGCAGGCTCTAAAATACAAATTTCGTAGCCAGGTGTTATAGTGCACACACACCTGTAATCCCAGCTACTTAGGAGGCTAAAATGGGAGGACTGTAAGTTAGTTTAAGGTGAGTCTTGAGCAACATAGTGAGACCCTGTCTTAAATTAGGGCTGGGGATTTAGTTCAGTGGTTCCGCCACCTGCCCCAAAAGTGCAAGTTCCCAAGTTCGATCCCCAGTACCCAAAAAAAGAAAAAAGATAAAACAGAAAGGACTTGGATGTGACTCAACACTGGAACGCTAGCCTAATGTGCAGAAATCCTGGGTTTAATTACAACTGCTATAAAAAAATAAATAAACAAATTTCCTAGAATCATTTGACCAAAAATTATGGGAAGGAGGATTTAGGTATTAATTCATTCAGCAAGTATTAATCGAGCATCTGCTAGGCCCTGTGTTAGGCACTGGCAAAAATGATTAGGTTAGACTATATGAAACAGCAGATAATTGACTTTGGAGGGAGTACTGGGGACTGAACCCAAGGGTGCTCTATCACTAAGCTATATTCTCACCTTTTTTGGTTTTGTTTTTTCGACACAAGGTCTAGCTAAATTAGGCAGGCACGCTGAGCCAGGGATTTAGCTCAGTGGTTCTCCCACCTGCCTCACAAGCAGAAGGACCTGAGTTCGATCCCAGGTACTAAATAAATAAATAAATAAATAAGGCAGGCTGGCCTTGAATTTGCAATCATACTGCCTCAGTCTCTTGCATAGCTGAAATTTCAGGCATGTGCCACCATACCTAGCATAATTTTTTTTTTTGAGACAGGGTCTTCAATAGCACCAGCAGCATCACTACTGCATTATTGTCCTTCTCTGCCATGGAATTAATGAATGATTCTTGTACTTGTGTGTTTGATTTGTGATTGGGGTCTCACTATGTTGCCCATCTGGCCTCAAACCCAAGATCCTCCCGCCTCAGCCTTCCAAGGAACTGAGATTACAGGTGCACACCACCACACTGGGCTCAATCAATTATTCTTAAATACTATCAATTGTAAAAATAGAAATACATAATTTATTTAATTTCCCTTTACACATGCTGTATATGAAAAATATGGTTTGGCAACTGATGCTAAATGAACTTGGGTGTGAAAAAAATCTATTCACTTAGAACATTATGATTACCAGAATATGAGTTTACATACAGAGGCCAAAACTGTGTGGCAATCAGAGAGTATGATTGTGATGATAAAATAAGTCTGATGAGTGTAGAATTATATTACTTGGAAGAATGCCAACTTCTATAACTGAATGACAGTTCTATGACCAGCTGTGACACAAGCCCTTGTCACAGCCCCCTGGGGCCAGATGAGAACCACATTGATTCAAGTTCCTATATGTCCTGTAAGGACTGTGAAGATGACTGTTTCTAAGGATAACTTTTAGTTCTTACAGCTACCTAGGGTGTGAGAGAAAACCATATTGACCCCTGACACTGTTCTTGATTGTATGTAATTGTTTCGTTATTAACAATCTCTGTTCTTAAATGATAGAAATAAATATAGATTCTGTCAGATATCTCTTTCCTATCAAATATCTGTTTCCTAAGAGGGATTCAAGATAAGATTTTTAGGCCGGCCATAGTGACACACGCCTGTAAGCCCAACACTTGGGAAGCTGAGACAGGAAGATCACTTTGAGTTTAAGACCAGCCTGGGCTACGTAATGAGTTCAAGACCAACCTAAACTATATAGTGAAAGCCTGTCTCCAAAAAAAAAAAAAAGAAAAGAAAAGAAAAACAACAACAAAAAGATAAAACCTTTAAACTGTCTATTTGATGAATCTGAAAATGTGGATAAAATAACAAGATTATGGGTATATTAGTAACATACAGATGTATTAGTAATCTTAAAGAATAGGAGTCTTTCATTTTCTGCTTGCTGACTTCACTGGGATAAATTTAAACAGCAGATAATTGATATTGAAACATCAAGGCTAAGATCTCACAAAAACACTTAAATTCAGTAAAGTTACTTCCCTGTTTGGAGTAATCTAATGATACTCTCATCCGTGTGTCTTCAAGGATGTGGATTCGACCTTACATTGCAGTGCTTCATAGCTGCAACTTTGACATTTCCTGGCTCAATCTTTGAGTCAGTCCTCATACCCACACAGTAAAGCCAGTTTCCATTCATTCTTGAATTCACACTGGTAAGTGGGCAGCTATGTACTCAACTCAGAGATGTGTTATCACATTAACCCAAGTCCATTAGTCATATTGTTCTGATTTTTCCTTATTTCCTTCGAAACAAAATAATTATTTACTTAATACCCTTCACTGCTTAATTACTCAAAGAAAGCACTTGAAAGAGTCAAGAACTGGGCTAAGACTTGGGCAATGGGTACTAATTTACTTCATGTTTCAAGAACCCTGTTTGTGAAGTGTGAATCATAGTATCTTCCCAATTCCACAGATGACCAGAATAAGAGAAATACTATTAGTGAAACCACTTAAAATGTGTTTTTTTCCCATTAAGTTTATTGGTACATTTTTGGTATAAAATACAGTTACATTCATCATTGGGATCTTGTACCTTTACATGAGTATCTTGGTTCTTACTTTTTTCCCCTTCCCTTGCCCTCCCTTCACCCCCTCCACCCTTCCCTATTTGCAAAGACCTTGTTTCCATTTTTTTTCCTCTTTCCATATTTTTTCCTTTCCCTTTTTCCCTTCCCCCTACCCCTCCGAATTCCCCTGCTCTTTTAGACCTTTTCTTCTTGTTACACAATATCAGTTATACATTTTTTATATTACAATATTAAGATCTAGGAGACATTACCACAGATTTTACAGAATTTAAAAGGATATAGAAAGCATATTACAAAAATCTTTTTTGAAATAAATTTGACAACTTCTAAGAAGTACCTTGGAAGACAAATTAATGAAACTAACTCTGGAGGAAATATAAAATTTGAATAGCACCTATTAAGGAAAGTATATTCCAAGCTTGAAAACCTACCTATATGACAACAGCAGGCTCATAAACATTTTAACTGATAAATTATATCAAACAATTAAAGCAGAAAAAAGAAGGAACACTTCTCCCCTCATTTTAGGAAATCAACATTGTGCTAATCCTAAAACTGGATAAAGATAATAGAATAAAAAGTATGAACATAGATAGAAATTTGTTTAACAAAACCAACTATTGGAAGTCAGATCTGGCAGGACGTAGAAAGTGGTTTTGTTATAGGGATGGCAGTGTTGGTTCAGCATTGGAAGCTTAAAATGTTTTGAGAAAAAAGCACAAAAATATTGTAACTTTTAAAAGCAATTGGTACAAAATAAAGAAATGAATGCAGCAAGGAAACAACAGAAAAAAACAGAAGCCTTGGACGTTCTGTTACTGACTTTTCTCTCTCTTTTTTTTTTTTTTTCTTTTTTGCTAGCTAGCCTCAAAGTATCTTGCAGTTCCATAGTGGTTAAAGTTTGTATACATCATGCCAAATGCTGTAACACTTGTTAGGACTCGTATTACAGGGAAGCATGCAGGGATGGAATCCACCACTGAGAAACAGACTTTGACTTTTCTATCCACCTCCCCTCACAATATGTAAACTCTGATATTGATGTAAGCACAAAGCCTCACTTGTATCAGTCCGGTCCAAATATCCAGATGTGGGTGGACTCATTCTACTAAGGAATTTCATTAAAATTCACATCTGCTGATTTCATAGCATCAGGCGTTTGACCCTTTGCCTCCCCCCTAATTAGCAGGAAACACTTTTCCTACCAGAGAATAAATTGCTTCTGCCTCCTGAAAATGTATTGAGCGTAAACAATGTAAAAAACACCCTGCTCAGTACAATGGAGAACCGAAAAGATGAATGAGTCAGTTTTTGCCCTTGAGAATTTCACAGGCCTACATTCTTAGATATAGATCTCAGCCAGATAGTTCTCTAGAATGGAGGCTGTGATGCTTGTCTGCCTATTCTCAGGGGTTTATGCCTCAGATCAACTAAATGAATACTCAGAAGAATTTGTGTTTTATTGACAGTGTCTCCTGTTTTGTGTTCAACTACAAGGAATCATTTCTAGCCTCTTCATAATCTCATCCTAATTGCTTAAATAAGAGCCAGAGAAGAATCCATCATCAAAACAGGTTAGAGCACAAGACAGACAAATGGAAAGTAAAAAGTAAGAGATGGGGAGAAGGGAAGAGAAAAAGCACTTCCTAGAAGAAATCTACAAAAACAAAATTTCTGCAGAAAATATTCAATAATACTGATTCTAAATAATAAAATAGAGAATGGCTTTGTGGGGAGCAAAAAAGAATTTGGAGAAAATTGAATTAATCAAAAATTAAAATAGGGTGGATATGGGGAATGGGTTTGAGTTTTGTTTGATTTGGTTTGGTTGATTGGTTGATTGCTTGTTTGTCTGTTTGTTTTCTTTTGGCCTTTAGCAAGTGCCAGGCCACTGTAACCAGAGGGAGAAAAAACTTAATGTTCTAAAGAATTGTTAAGCATGTTATTTCTGCAAGGAAAGATGTGAACATTACTTGGTACTTTCATCACTTGTGGTGGCAGCTCTCAGACTCTAATCTCAGGGACCCCTTTGTACTCTTGAACCATTTTACTTATATGAATTATATCTAATGATACATTCCATATAACATTTTATTTATTTATTTTTGTACCGAGGATCAAATTCAGGACCTTGCACTTGCAAGGCAGGCACGGTGCCACTGAGCTAAATCCCTGGCCCCCATATAACATTTTAAAACAAATTTCTAAAATCTTATTCCAAATCAAGATGGCAATGTGTACTTATTTTATTTGGTTATTTTCACATAAACTCAATGAAAAGTTCGAGACTTTAAGATAATTATTTCTCTGAGAATAGTGACGGAATAACTATCCTGGTAGATATGACCAAAGATAGCTAATAGAAGTACAGAAGTAACAAGAGAACAAGCAGATTTTGTTAATCTCTATAAATCTCTATATAAAATGTACATATTGACACTTTAAACCTATCACCATTGAAATACTATAAAACACAAGCATACACGCTCTCAGGTATTTTATTAGTCAGCAGAGTGATGACGTCATTACAGGCCAAATAGCTTTTGGAAATTTCCACTGTATGCGAAAGTGAAAAGGTCAAATCATATCATCTCTCTCCCTCCTTCCTTCCTTCCCTCCCTACCGCTTGCTCTCTCTGTCTCTCTCTTTCTCTTTGAGACAGGGTCTCGGTACTTAGTTCAGGCTGGCTTTGAACTCAGTATGTAGCCCCAGCTAGGCTCAAACTGGGGAAGATCCTCTTGCCTCAGCCAGCTGAGACTACAAGCGAGCATCCCCATACTAGGCTTGGAAATAGTTTCGACCTCAGAGATCCCTCGAAGAAAGGATTTTGGAAACACTGGACCTCGTGAACCACCATTTGAGAACTAATCAAATCGATTCATTTTTCAGGTCAGATCTTATTTCCTATTACTAACAAAGTGTATCTTCTCTGACGTGTATTTTATTCTCGACTCTGGACAACTGTTTGAGGATAGTTGACCTAACGTAACCCCTAACTCGATGCAACTCAAACAGAAAAACCTCGGGCGCTCGGCTCGCGCTGGGCTTAACGAAATGCAGGCTCTAGAAGCGAACCCCACAACGTTCATCCGTGTCACCAAGGCGGAGCCATAGCTGGTGACCGGCGACGGGGCTCACCCAGGGCTTGGACAGGAGCCGGGAGACGCCGGCGGAGATCTGGCTGCCGCAGGTGAGCCGGGCCCGCCGGAGGAGCAGCGCCACTAGGGGTCCCCAAGCAGCAGCGTCCTCCTCCCCACGGCTGGCGGCGGCCTCCCCGGGCGCGGCAGCAAGGCGCGCAGGGCTGGAGAGAGCGAGGCCGGATTGTCTCCGAGACTTAGGGGGGGGAGCCAGAGACGGAGGGCCTGCGGCTTCTGGGGCGTCCAAACAATAGGGCTCGGGTACCGGAGCTGTTGCAACCTGTGCCGGGAGATACAGGTGCGGACCCCGGGCAGGATCGGACCTCAACACAAAGCGGAAAGTGTCCGATCCGCACGCGGCAGAGTCGGGGTGCGGGGGCGCAGCGAGCGTCCCCAGGCGCTCTCGGGGGCCACTTTTCCTTCGCGCCAGGTCCTGGCGACCGAAACCGTGCGTGGGGCGCATTCGCGCGGTGGTTTTGGTTACAACAGGTCAGGTGACTCAGTTCCCACCGAAACTCAAAACTCTTGAGCTAGGGACTTTTTTTGATGTGTTTTTTCCCTTTTGTTTTACTTTGTTTGACAGCTGCTAGACTATGTTGACGCTTCTGATTCTACTCAGCCAACTGTCCATAGTTACCTTAGCGTTTCCTCCTCGCACAAGAAATCTAAAGGACTTCAGGCATGAGCCAGAAGACGGTAAGCTGAACTGTGCTTCGGGGAAAGCCCACCTGGAAACCCGAGCTGCCTAGTAGAGATCTCAAGCGGGAATTATATGCCGCCATGAACCACAGACGCCCCAAAATAGCGTTTAGTTTAGTTTGTGGCTTATTTGGTAATTTGGGGGCTTTTATGTTCTTTACAATGCATACGAAATTATCTCTGTGAGTCTCCTTTGATAAAATATATGTTTAAGATCTGGTTTGTGGCCAACCGAATGGAAAGCTTTCGATTTCTGAAAATGAATGACTTTTTCTAAATGAAGCTATGGGGTAATTAGGAGGAGCACAATTGCTTTTTGTTTCTGGGAGGATGGACAGGGCGTCCTGATCTAGCCTGGACTTGTTTCTTGAGCTGCTAGGGTTGGAACCCAGGCCTTTGGGGATGCTAGGCACGCAACCTACCCCTGAGCTGCACCCTGACACTCTGAGTCCCAAGTATGGACTTCTTGTGAGATCCTGGGCAAAATCTTAATCCCTTAGGGTTGGAATGCCTTCATCTGTAAAGTGATGGGGATAAAGGCAGATGATCTCTCAAGCCCTTTTTGACTTTGAGAAGTCTGGTTGTCTAGATAAAGGCAGATGGTTGAGAAATGGTTTGGGACTTACTTACCTAGAAGTTCATGCCTTTTATGCTCCAGATCGTAAACAGATTGGTTCTTTGCCTATATCTTAAAAGCCTTACCTAGAAAAGTAAGAAAAAAGAAAGAAAAAGGAAAATTGCCCTTGGTTCTCAGCATTCTTCTGCCTTTTCATTGTCTTCCCTCGCCCCAGTACCACACATGCTTGTCCTTTATCTCTTCTCATCTGATCCTGCTGTCAGCTCATTTTTATTTGAGAAAGATCTGTTACACTAATACTTCTCACTGATTTATTAAAGGTTAATACAGCTGGGCTGGGGATTTAGCTCAGTGGTTCTGCTGCCTGCCTCACAAGTGCAAGGACCCGAGTTTGATGCCCGGTACCAAAAAACAAAACAAAACAAACAAAAAAGATTAACACAGCTTTTTTTTTTTTTTTTGGTACCAGGGATCAAACTCAGGTCCTTGCGCTTGTGCAGCAGGCAGCTAAACTGCTGAGCTAAATCCCTGGCCAGTACAGCTTATTGAGTGCGTGTGTGTGTGTGTGTGTGCGTGTGCGTGTGCATGTGCGTGTGCGTGTGTGTGCATGTGTGTGTCTTAGGAAAATACCTTAAGTTAAAGGAAGCAAATTCCAATGCTAGAATTCTAGGCAGTTGGATCTCCCAAGTCACACCAAACATATAAGCCATATATGTAAGGCGGATGGTCCATAGTTAATACGACCCTATGTGACTTACCCAGAATATGAGTGTATTCATTCATTCACATGACACAGGCATAAAAATTACTCTCAAGAACATAATACACTATGGAAGAAATGTAGAAATCATACTTGAGTATAGAGGGCTACAGATATCTGCAGGATATGAAGATGAGAGATCTGACACATTTGCAAGCCAATTTGTTTCATTGGTAACTACATTATGAACATATACTGTGTTCCGGGACCTATGCTAGGTGCTAGAGATGTACAAATGAAGAGTGTTATCCCTGTCCCGGAGGACCTCTATCTGGTGGAAGAGATCGTTAAATTCTGTATCAGAAGTAGAAACAGAGAGCCTCTAGAATGGAGAAGAGTGAGTAGCATAACCCTGGCCTAAGAGAGTTAGTTGTATGACACACCACTGCCAGTGCTTTCCATTTGCAAGTAGGACATAATAAATGGAGATATGGAAAGCACAGTAGTTCCCCCTTATCTGCAGAGGACTTATTCCAAAACTGCCAGTGGACTCTGAAAACTTCAGATAGTACTGAATGAACCCTATATGTAAGCACTGAGTACCGTGAAGTTGATCTGATAACCAAGATTGCTACTAAGTTACTAATGAGCTCATAGTGTATACTGTATGGATACTCTGGAAAAAGGTGATTGACCTTCTGGGCAGAACTGAGCAAGAGGCAGAAGATTTCATCGTGCTACTCAGAATTACATACAATTTAAAACTTCTGACTGGTTTGTAGCTGAAATTTTCCATTTAATATTTTCAGACTGTAGTTGACCTCAGGTAACTGAATCTGTAGAAAATGGGGCTGTGGGTTAGGAAATACAACTGTAACTTAAAAAGGGGTAGACTTTCAACCAAATTCTCATAAAGTCTTAGGGTAGAGTTGAAATGACTTAAAAAGAAACTTATTTAGAAAACGTGAGGAGATAGAAGAGAGGAAGAAAATGGAAAATTTAGGTTGGTGGATTTGTAACAGTGGAATGCACAGACACCCTCTTAGGATAGTCTAAGGCAAGAAAAACGAAGAGAAGAGAATTTTAAGGAAGTAGATGCAAAGGTCAATGCATCCTCCAGCTGTGATCAAGAGGAAAATAGAATCTCTCACTGGGAACCAAGGGCTTTCCAGGAGCAGCAAAATTTGCTTCCTTCCAGTTAGAAACAAAATCAAGGTTACTTAGATTCTAAAAGACAAAGGACAGTATTTCTCTTGAGATCATAAAGGATACAGATAAAAACTTGACCTGGTCCTGAAAGTTAAGTCTAAGGTTAGCCACTAACAGAATTAGGGCTTTGACACTCAGGAAAGCAGCAAACAGCATCTCCTGGTGGGATTGTTTAATATAGTATCAATCACAATACTGTGATTAATCATAAATATCATGTATGATATTGGCATAAATGTCATTTAAAGAAAAATTAAAATGTTTATGGTTCTCTTTTTTATTTTTCCCTTCAAGTTAAAATTAGCCTTAGTATGAGGCCAGCTGTGGAGGCACACACCAATAATCCCAGCACTCGGGGGGCTGAGGCAGGAGAATTGCAAGTGAGCTATGTAGCAAAATCTTGTCTCACAAAGAAAATAAAAATCAACTTTATTGAGTTCCCGGAAGGAAGAGTTATAAGTCAGATACTTGCTTTAACATGAAAAAAAATTTGGCAATGCTCTTTTAGTCAATAAAAATAAAGATCTGAAAAGTAGCAACACAAAGGTGGATTTCTTATTCTCCATTCTGAAATTAGAGTTTATGCAGTACCTATGGCTCACTTGCTTTATGATAACTTTAAACCTATGCCAAGTTGAGTAACACCAGATTATACATGTGAATTGCTTCTGCTGGTTGAGTTTATGGCCAAGAATGTCTTCCCACATTAGGAAAGTTGAGTTTTTTCATTCAGTAATGTTTTCAGCACATCTTCATGGCCAGGCTGTGGAAAACAGTGGTAACAGACAATTGAGGTATATAGATCTCCAGGTAGTGCTGATGTTATGAAGAAAAGGACTGGGGGTGTCTGAGGTGGGTGGATAGAAATGAGAGTTCAAGGGAACATTAAACAAAATCCTGAAGGAGGTGTGACAGCAAACTGAAAGAAAATTCTATTCAAAGGAAAGAGCAAATACAAAGGCAGTCAAGAACCAACTGTGTTGAAAGCCAACCTGGCATAGTTTCAACAGAATATATAACAGGTAGGAGATGAGGTCAGAGGAGTAAGGGTTTGGGGACCAAATTGTATAAGGCTCATAGGCCATTGTAAGAGGTTTAGTTTTTATTTTGTGGAAGATGGGATTCATAGTAGGGAGGTTTTAAAAACAGCCACCTGTGGTGGCTAAGGCAGATGGGCCACAAGTTCAAGGTCAGCCTGGGCAGTTTAGCAAGACCCTGTCTCAAATAAAGAATGAGCCAAGCATGGCATTACACATTTGTAATCCCAGCCCTCTGGAAGGCTGAAACAGGAGAATCTCAAATTTGAGCCTAGCCCAGGCAAGTTAGTGACACCTTGTCTTAAAATTTAAAAATAAAAATAAAAATGGGGTAGGGATGTAGCTCAGTGTGAGAGCCCTGAGAGTTCGATCCCTAGTAACACACACACACACACACACACACACGAAATAAGAACAAAATCTGACTAGGCTTTTAAAAAGATCCCTCTGGCTGTTGTGTTAATAACAGATCACAGAGCAACAAGGATAGCACTTGGAAAGCCATTGTGGGAGACTCCAATGAAGGGTGGTGGAGGCTTGGAAAAATTTTCACTCTTCCTCCACTTGGGGGCAGCATAAAATGTACAGAAAGCCAAATGAGGGGAAAGAACCGAAGTATTCTGGCCTGTCTTCTACTTTCTAATATAAAATAACTATCAGCATCCTAGCTGCTCCCCTGGTTCCAAAATAGCCCATATGTTATTAATAGCATAGAAACTAACACTCTTGAATAGTGCTAGGCAAAAGAAATATAATGTGAGCCGCAAAAATGATTTAACTTTTCCTAATAGACACGTTTTAAAAAGAAATAGATGAACTTAATTTAATAGTGTATTTAACCAAAAAAAATTTTTTGGTACTGGGGATCCAACTCAGGACCTTGTGGTTGCAAGGCAGGCGGCAGCACCACTGAGCTAAATCCCCGGCCCTAATTTAACCAAATATTCAAAATATCATTATTTCAAAGTATAGCAGCATAAAACTTTATTGAGATGTAGCACACTCTTTTGTCCCCTTCATACTAAGTCTTTGAAATCCTGTGGGTATTTCATATTTTCAGTACATCTCAATTCAGACTGGCCACCCTTCAAAGGGCTTGGTAACTATATATGTCCAGTGACTACTATATTTGGTGGAACAGCTCTGGAAGATTTAGACCTGTTTAAAAAGATAATTAATTTGTAGGAGAAAATATCTTGAACAAGATGTGACTGCTCTCAAGGGTCTAAGAATAAATAGCCAACCCAAGATCACTCACAAATCAGTATTAGTTTCCAAATCATGCTTTCCAAGGAATTGTCTTAATTTTTCACCTTAATATATTCTTCTTTTGGTAATGGTTAGCAGTGAGAAGAGTCATTACTTTTAAATTCTTTTATTCACTTTGATATAGTTGTCAGAAGGTTTCTGAATTCATCTCAGTGTATGATCTTAGCAAAATCACTAAACTTTGTTTGTGAGACACCAGAATGACTTTAAGATTTGTAGGTTTTGAAAATACTGCCGTGGTGGGATTTTCTTCCAGTAATAGGGATCAAACTTGAACATTCTAGACAAGCACTCTACTACTGAGCTATATCTTCAGCCTTTTATTTTTATCCGAGGCAATGTCTTGCTAAGTTGCTCAAGCTGCCCTAGAGCTTTCACTCCTCTGTCTTGAGCCTCACAGTTATAGGTGTATACCACCAGGCCCAGCTATTGATGCTATTTCCTTGGGTCAGATTTTAAAGTCATACAAAACTTAAATATTGTATGGTTTCTCTTATATGAGAAACACAAAGTATAAGTAAATTAAAGAGCAAAATAAAAGATAGAAAAAGGAAACAGGGAGGTAGAGCTTTTGCAGATGGGAAGGGGACAAAGAGATGCAGGATGGGAGGAGGAGGAGCAGAGGGAAAGGAGTTGTAAAAAGATGTGCTATGTACATGTACCAAATACCCACAATGAAAGTAATCATTATGTGTTGCAAACATGGAATTGTAAAAAGAAAACACAGCTTGGCAAGTAGTAAATACTATATATTTACTTGCACATAGATGCATTAATAGTAGACAGAAATAACTCAGACATACACATATATGTGCATGTATTTACTATTATAAAAAGGAATTCACATTACTGTGTCCTTTTCTCTGGACTTTATCTCAAGTACTGTAAAACATATTTGTGTTTTCTTCCCTGTTATCTACTCAGTTCCTTATCAAAGTTGCAGATCCTAAGGACTTTAATCAAATCACTCACGCAGTCAGGAAGAATTGGCCCCTAAAAAAAGTTTATTTTCAACTTTATAAAATCAATTTAAAATCATTACCAGGCCACTAAGACTTTATTTCCCAAGAAACATGAAATGGTACACCATCAAAATCCAGATGGCTGCTGATGTAATTATCTGGATTGTTATTGAACAGGAAGATCTCACAGTATTTAAATTTGGAAGATGCAAAGACTTAAATCACAAAGACTACTTACAGTTGTCAAACTTCCCATTTACTCTTAGTGCCAGATACTTTATGACGTCTAAATGAATTCTTCTTTACACCACTGGTTCTTTTTTATTATTATTCATTAAGTTTATGGGTACATTTTAGGTGTACAATATGATGACATTCATCATTGGGAATTTATACATTTACATGATGTATCTTGGTTCTTATTTTTTTCCCCATTCCCTTGCCCTCCCTTCAACCCCCCCCACCCCTCCCTGTTTACAAATAAACCATTGGTTCTTTAATAATTTATATTTTTGTAGGTTGCATGTACTTACAGGAATCATGTTTTTAGCATGATAACAAAAATTGCTCCAATTTGCAGAATTCTTAGATTCTAAAGTCATAAATTAAACATAAAAATAAATTTCATTTTACACTTACCTTCTCTTATAAATGGAAAATAGCAGATTTTTCTTTTCCTTTATAAAATTAATCCTTCAAAGTTATAGGATTAACAATGGAATACATATAAAACTCAGCATTTGGTTTTTGTTTTGTTTAATTTGGGAGCTAAAAGAGACTCAACAGATAATCCAGTCCCATTGCTGTATTTTACAGATGAGGTAACTAATCATGATCATAAACTGGTCCTTGCCTTTGAGTCAACTAGATTTAAAAACAAATAAATAATTAAGTCATACAGGAAAGTCTGGTACAACTTAACCATATCAAGAGAGCTATTCACTTGTTCTACAATTAAAACAGGAATTTTATGCTTTATGTTTATCAGTGTTTGAATTTTTTTATTTCTTTATTAGTCTTTGCATCAAAGGAAGAAGCAAACTTTTTCATACATCGCCGCCTCCTATACAATAGGTTTGATTTGGAGCTTTTCCTGCCCAGCAACCTAGAAAGAGAGTGCTATGAAGAGTTTTGTAATTATGAGGAAGCCAGAGAGATTTTCCTGGATGAAGATAAAACGGTAATTTGCTTGATTATGTTAATCAGCTAGAAACTTATTAAATTATACTTAAGAAAGTGACACTTTCACTCATAGATTTTATGCTTTAAACAAAATCAAGGCTATATACTATTATCTCTTTCTACTGCCTTAAAATGCTAATTTACCTATTTAGACTTAGATTTATCCTTAATTAGCTGGGCTTACCATAATTAGTGAATTATGAGCCATGCTGTGATTTTGTGTTTAATGTTTATTGCAGTCAAAAACAATTTCAGAGCAGAGTGAATTAAACTTCAAGATATTACCTAGGACTAAGAATGTTCTCAGTGGTAGGGCAGTTGCCTATCACGTGCAAGGCCCTAGGTCAATCCCTAGCACCCAAAGTGTGTATAGTGGGGGGTGTTATTTGAATTAGTGCTCTGACTCAAGCCTCAATTATTTACAAATCTGAGTAATTTCTTCTATCAGTAATATACCTTTTTTCAATTACTAATGTTTCTATTTCAAGTATTTATTGACAACTTACTATGTGCGAGATGCTCTGCTAGCATTAAGGATACAAAATATGTAACACTGCCCTCCCCTACCTGATTGTGATGGTAAATACCTATAATCTCACCACTCTGGAAGGATGAAATAGGAGGAGTCCAAGTTTGAGCCCAGCTTGGACAATTTAGGGCATTAGACCATGTCTCAAAATAATTAAATCCTGTTCGTTAATCTTGATGGCATACAAAACAGACAGATAACACTGTGCCTATTATTGAGGAGTATTAAGTGATCCAAATTCTTTACCTTTGTAAATGAAATAGCTCCAGCTCCTTTACCCCTTTTTAAAGCATCCTGTTTTACTTTTTGTTCGATAAGGACCTCCTCTGGAATCCTTCAAATGCAGGTAGTAATGGAACATAGTTCTTTGTTCTTCCATAATTGTGACCGGCTTCCTATTTCCTCCAAGTATTTGCCACATATACTAAAGTGGAGAAACAGCTGGGCATGGTACATGCCTATAATCCTAGCACTCTGGAGACTGAGGCGGGAGGGTGGAGAGTTTGAGGCCAGCCTAGATTACATAGCAAGACCCTGTGTCAAAGAATGAACAAAGGAGGGAAATAAGGAAGGAAGGAAAGAAGGGAGGGAAGAAGGAAAAGAGGGAGGGAGGAAGAAAGATAAGGAGGAAAAATTAAAGAATATACTTTGCAGTTGTGCCAGTCAGGATTTTATTGTTTTTCACAACCTATTTTCTAATTTTATCACAGTTCCTCAAAATCCGCTTCTATTCTTTGAAGCATCATTGAATTTAAACTGTCCGGTGATGTCTTTCCAAGGCAGTAAATATGTTTCAATAAAATCTCATAGCAAACCATGGGCCCCCTAGCAAAGAAAATTCAAACTTCTTTTCAAACCTGGTAGTGGGACCACAGCCTCACTGTCCACCTTTGGCACTTGTGCAAACTCTCGAATGTATTGGTTTCCTGATGCCTTAGTGGGGCTCCTAGGCAGTTAAAGGGAGAAGAGCAGGGCATAGATGTAGAGCTGTGGGGCCAGCAGTAATCCCTTGACCAGTTCAACAGACAGCAGCAGGCAGGGGTGGATAGTAGTGCTTTGGAGTGAACCACACCCTCTAGTCTGAATGAATTAGCATCTTATCTGTGGCTCATGCCAAGATTTTACTTCCCCTAGTCTAGGTCAGGGGGAATAGATGAAATAATAACAAATTACTTAACTTGGAAATTTCACCTTTTTCATAGATGGAATTTTGGAAGGAATACTCAGTTAAAGGACCAACCACAAAATCAGGTAAGGCAAGAACTGATCAGATTTAATGTTTTCTTCATTCTCTGTTGTAATACGTTTTAGTTTTATTGTTTGAGTTTGGCTATTGTTCAACATACCTCGTAAGTCCAAAGATTTCTCAGCTATACACTAAGCTATCTCAGACAGAGAAGGTTAGTTCATCTACTTACGCATTGAAAATCAAGTTTGGTGAGATATTAGAGAAATGAGATAATAGGCTTAAAGCTGTTGTTAATATCTCAGCTAAGTCAAGACTTGCACAGGATGAAAGTAGGACTCTTAGTTTCAAGTAATAAGCTCTTTAAACTTTTCCCTCTTTTTTATTATTACAAGTGAATGGAATACATATGCTAGGTAACTTAAGACTGTTGGATAGAGTTGGAGGTATAACTCAATGGTAAAATGGGTGCTTGGCATGTGCAAGGCCCCGGGTTCAATCCCCACCACCAAAAGAAAAATGGGAAAAAGACTGTTGATAGAATTATGTAACTTTTAGAGAAGGGAAAGCCTTAATCTTGTCTATATATGTCACCCCTAGGTGCATTTAAAATTTTTTTATTTTAAATTAACACCTAGAAATTGCACATATTTATGGGATACAATGTCATATTTTATTACATGTTTACAATGTCTAATAATCAGAGTAGCTAGCATATCAATCACCTCAAACATTTGTCATTTCTTTATAGTAAGAACACTCAAAATTCTCTTCTAGCCAGGCACAGAGGCACACACCTGTAATACTCGCTACTTGGGAGGCTGAGCCAGGAGATAGGAAGTTCAGTGCCAGCATGGGCAATTTAGTGAGACCCTCTGTCAAAATCAAAACTAAAAAGGGTGGGGGTTTTAGCTCAGTGCTCCCCAGAGTTCAGTCTGTACCACCAAAAAAATTGTCTCCTCTAGCTATTTTGAAATATGTAAAAAAATTATTAACTATAATCACCCTGCTCTGCTGTAGTACACTAGAAATTATTTCTCCTAGCCAGGTGTGGTGCTGCATGCCTGTAATCCTACACAGTGAGTATAAGAACAGCTTGAACTATATAATGAGAACCTGTCTCAAAAGAAAAAAGAAAAAGAAATTATTCTTCCTATATAACTGTGATTTCATACTTGTTAACCAAGCTTTCTTATCCCTCTTTCCCCTTACCTATCTAGCTGCATTTTAGTCCATTTTTTTCACCATAACTTTTATACTTTTAGGTAAGGTCCCCTTACAGGAGCCTAGAAGCCTCTATTGTACAGTAATAGTTTTTTGTTTGTCCTGCTGTACTGGGGATTGAATCTGGGGCCTTTGCACAGAGCTATGTTCCCAGCCCTTTTTGGGGGGGTTGGAGACAGGGTCTCGCTATTGTAGTTAAGGCTGGACTTAACTATGTAGCTAACTCACTATGTAGCTCAGGGTGCCCTCAAACTAGCAGTGTTCATCCTGCCTCAGCCTCCCAAGTGCTGGGATTACAGGCATGCCCCACTACACTGAGCCCTCTTTTAATTTTTTACTTCAAGACAATGTCTCACTAAGTCACTGCATTGCCTAGGCTAAGTTCAAACTTTCAGTACTATCTGTCACCTCCCAGAATGCTGCACCACTTGCAGGCATGTGCCACCATGCCTGGCTACTAAATATTCCTTAGTAGTTAATACCAAAATGTGTCTAGTGAAGCAAGAATATGTTTATCTCATTTAATTTGATAGTACCTCTTTAACACAACATATTTAAAGTAAATTTAAAAGTTAATAGCCAGGTATGGTGGCACATGCCTTGGGAGCCTGAGGCAGGAGGATCTCCATGAGTTTGAAGCCAGCGTGGGCTTCATAGAGAGTTGAAGGCAAGCCTGAACTACATAACAAGACCTTGTCTCAAAAACAAGCAAACAAACAAAATGAATAGTTGTAATTTGGGCTTTTAAAGTATCATTTATATTTCTTTCATGTAGATTTTCTAGCACAAAAACTTTTTACAGAAATCAGTGTAAGTGAGGTGTGGTTGGACACACCTATAATCCCAGCACTCTGAAAGGAGGATCACATGCCTGGGCAAAGCAGTGATTTAGCAAGATCCTGTCCCAAAATAGACATTTTTTTTAATAAGCTTTTTTTCCCCCCTGGTATCAGGGATCGAACTCAGGACCTTGCACTTGCCAGACAGGTGCACCACCACTGAGCTACATCCCCAGCCCAAAAATAGACATTTTTTTTAAAAGCCTGGGAAGGTAGCTCAGTGCAAAGGTCGCAGGTTCAATCCCAGTACTGCCATAACAACAACATAAGTATCAATATAGGGCTGGGGATTTAGCTCAGTGGTTCCGCTGCCTACTTCACAAGCCCAAGGACCTGAGTTCGATCCCCAGTACCAAAAAAAAAAAAAGTATCAATGATTAGATGCGTAATAATGTGTTAAATTTGTTGAAATGATAAATGATGCTTTTTAGTTATTATAGTTACCTTATTTAAATGATTTCTCTTAAGATGGCAGCAGAGAGAAAATTGATGTTATTCACATTCTGATTGGAATAATTGCTGGTGGAGCACTTTTGGTTATTTTTGGACTGTGTTTTTACTATGTGTGCATAACAAGGCGTGAGAGACAACCATATTCAGGGTAAGTACCAAGTAAAAATATTTAATTCATCATTGGACATTCTATATTGTGATTTTTAAATAAATCAAATGCCTTTTTTGGGGGGGTACTGGGGATCAAACTCAGGACCTTGCGCTTGTGAGGCAGGCAGCAGAACCACTGAGCTAAATCCCCAGCCCTCAGATGCTTATTTTTAAGTGAACTTTTTATTTTAGAATAATTTTAGATATACAGGAAGGTTTCAGAGGTATTACAGAGAGTTCTCATATTTCCTTTAACCAGTCTCCCCCATCGATACTGCCTGACATTTCCATAGCAGATTTGTCAAAACTAAGAAACCAACACTGGTACATTCCCATTAACTAGACTCCAGACTTTATTTCAGTTTGACCAGATTTTCCATTAGTGTCCTTATTCTGATCTAAGACCTAGTCAATCTACCGCATTACATTTGGTTGTTATGTCTTCTCTGGCCCCTGTAGTCTGATGGTTGTCTGTGGCTTAACTTAACACACATATTGACAACTGAATGATGCTATTTCTAAGGTCCTTCAGAGGAATACAGGTGTCAGCTTCATTTTTTAACAGTTTCTTCTAAGCAAGAGACAGACATCAGTGTCCCTACATTACCAGTATTTCCACCAAACAAAAAGTCTCATAATCAGTCTAAATCAGACTTAACTGATCTATGTTACTACTCAGAGAGAAACAAAATAACTGAACTATTTGTATCCTTTGTACAGACAAAGACTGTAGGTTTTTTGTGTTGAATATTTAAAAAGTAAGGATTTCTTTCTTTTTTTGGTACCGGGGGTCAAACTTGGGACCTCAAGGTAATTTTACACACTATTTTAGCCCATCTGTGTCTTGATTACGTCTCTTCACTTGAGATCAGTGGAATTTTTCACTCAGCACATCATCTCAGTGCTCAAAGTTTCCAGCTTTGGAGCAGCTTAGATTTTAGATTTTTGCATTAGGAATGCTCATCTTGTCCTACCAAGACTTATGCAGGAAATGATAAGCAAAAGAGTTTTGAGCAAAGATCTAAGCTTTGATGAAGAGTAGTGAATGATTGAGGAAACTGTGGGATAATTGGAGTGTCAGCCACAAGGAGTTTACACTTGAGCTGCTAGGTATGGTGACAGTGGGTTCTTAAGGAGAAGATTAAGAGGAAAACTGGCCTTCAGGAAACATTTCTAAGGAAGTGTGGATATGCCAGGTGCTAGGAGCATGGTGGTGACTAGAACAGACATGGCGCCAGCCTCTGTGGAGAGCACATTGGACTTTACTTAGGCAGTGTGTACCAGGGCAGAGAAAGGCTGGAAGACAGAGGGAAACCACTAAGGATGCCAATGTGAGGCTTCAGATATGAGGCCACGAGTGTGGACTTGTTTTTGAGGAAAAAGAAGGTGTAGACCTTCATGCCTGATACCAAGAACTAGAGGGTGTTGGAAGAATATGAAGTGAACTTATGCATCTGAGCTGAGGGAATGTACATGAAAACTAGGAGGAAGAAAATGAAATTTGGATGTGACAGAATAAAATGGCATGGATTTTAAAGGTAACTCAAAAAAGAATAACAAAAAGACGACCTGGATTTAGAAAAGATAAAGGATTTGAATTTTCATTTCTACAAAGAGATACAAAAGGCCAACAGATAACAGAAAAGATGCTCAATTGTGTTAGTCATTGGGGAAATACAAGTCAAATCAGAGCCACAGGAAGATACCACTTTATACCTCCTGGAGTAGTGTGATATTTTTTATAAATATCAAATATTGATGATATGGAAAAATTAGAACCTCATACATATTTTGCTGGTGGGAATGTAGACTGGAATACCTGGTATGGAAAACAGTTTGACAATTCTTCAGAAAATTAAGTATAGAATTACATGTGACCCAGCAGTTTTTAAGGGGCAAATTGGCTGATGTAGTTTGGAAAAGTTTATGGCATTTTGAGACTGTAAATTCAAATGGGAAGAATATTACAACCATTGACTAGAGGTTGATCAAAATTATGAATTTTAATTATCTCATTAGCCATATCTGTAGGAGGTCAATTTATCCATAGATACTTTATAGACAGCCAACTTCACTCTAAACATATCCATTTACTGGTGTTTAAATTATAATTTTGGGTTGGGAGTGTAGCACAGTGCTAAAGTACTTGCCTACCATATGCTAGGGTTAAATAATTATAGTTTTTAATTCAAAATGCAAAGAAAAAAACCAAAGATGGCATTTCAAACTTCCATTGCTGTCAAGATTTTATGAAACTGGTGGGGCTTTGAACTAGCTCTGTGTGTGTGTGTGTGTGTGTGTGTGTGTGTGTGTGTGTTGCTAGGAAATGAACCCAAGGCTTGTGCAGGACTCTTACCACTGAGCACTATCTTATATATATGTGTGTGTGTGTATATATTTTTTTTTCTTTTTTTTTTTTTGGTACTGGGGATCGAACTCGGGACCTTGCGTTTGCGAGGCAGGCACCGGAACCACTGAGCTACTTCCCCGGCCACTATCTTTTATATATGTTATTATAAAATTTAGAACTCTGAGCAACTCGTTTTAAACGTAAGTCCAGTTAATGTTAGTCCAGTGTAAAGCTGTGTATATAGTTAGTGCATAGCCCTACTTTGCCCAACCTTGCCTTTTTTTTCCAGTACTAGAGATTAAACCCAGTACCTCACACATGCTAAGCAAGCACTCTATCACTGAGCTACATCCACAGCCCTAAACTAAGCCATGTATTTTTTTTTTAATTGTTGTTGTTGAACTTAGATCACTGGAAAGGGAAAAGATAATATTCCACGAAGAACAACACCAGTGAAAGCACAGAAAAGGGCTGGAGAATTCACTGCACATAGACAGGAAGGTAAAGAAACTGCCTGGGCAAGAGCAGAGAGCTATAAAAACTAAAGCAAGGCCAGAATAAGGGAGGCTGGGCTGGGGATTTAGCTTAGTGGTTCTGCCGCCTGCCTTGAAAGCGCAAGGTCCTCAGTTCGACCCCTGGTACCAAAAAAAAAAAAAAGGGAGGCTTCAAAAAGGAGGCTCAGGAGTTAGAACTGACTCAGTGGAAGGTAGGCTGCATTTAGAATTTGAGAAGAGGAGTGACATAATGAAAGTACTGTTTGGGAAGGATCCACCAGGTGGCAGGACTGCCAGAGAGGACAGAGGACAGGGACAGACATTAGCCATTGTGATTATCTTCGTGGCACCTGCTTTCTTGGCTTGGAGTTAGGCCACCTTCAACAAAGCCTGCATTTGGTTTCACATAACACTCGAGAAAGTTTTAATTCAGGAGCTGGAGAAAAGGGAATTCACATATCTTGAGTCCTTATTGTGCAGTGTGGCAGACATTGCATGAAGTCTTAATAAAGTATCACAGTCCACCCAAGACAGCTCTGTTGAGGTAGCTACTATTATCCCCATTTTGGAGAGGAGGAAACTGAGTCAGGTAATGACATTAATCATGAAATGAGTCAAATTTCAAACCCATGTCTGACTTCAATGTTGTTGTCCTTTCTACAATACCAAGACTTTTTCAGAGTATGTGGGTAAAATAAAGCTGTTTTCTTTATTAATGAATTGAGTTCATAAATAGCTGGATTTTCAATCCAATATATTGCCTTTCTTAGACCTAAATACTGTTTCTGTGTTTAGTTCAGTCACCTATGAAAGAAATGGCAGCTCTTCCATCAATGTCAGAAGACCTGAGGACGCTATCATGTCTCCATTGCCACTATCTCTAGAGGACACGGGATTACCTTCCTATGAACAGGCAATGGAGCTGAACAGAAAACGTAGTGTTTCACCGCCACCACCTTATCCTGGGCTGGCAAAAGGATTTAGGGTATTTAAAAAGTCTATGTCAGTCCCACCTCACTAAGCCCACCCTGCCATCTCAATATAAGAAATTCATGTTATTCACATGGTTTATTCTCTCAGAACCAAAAAAAGACAGACTATTCAGCTCTTCATGACAAACTGCAAGGAATAAAGGAAGAATAAGCATGTGAATGTTATCATAGTTCGTTCCATTTACATCTTGGACTCAAACTTGATCATTATACCTTGATAAGAGATTTTGACTCTGTATCCATACAGTAAAGAAGACAGCACTTTTTTGGTAATGTAAGGTTGAGAAATCTTTGTTATAGATCATGAGAGCCAGGGAACTATTTGTATCCTTTGTACAGACAAAGACTGTAGGGTTTTTGTGTTGAATATTTAAAAAGTAAGAATTTCTTTCTTTTTTTTTTGTACCCGGGATCAAACTCGGGACCTTCTGCTTGTGAGGCAGGTGGTGGAACCACTGAGCTAAGTCCCTGGCCCCAAGAATTTCTAATCGTCCACAATACCCCAAATTGATATTGGACCTATTTTTTATTAAGTTGGACAGGATTGGAAACACTTCAGAGAATTTGATATTTCAATATAAATCTGTGCCCTTTGGTTTAATATTTTGAATTATTGTGTAACATTTACTATATTTTGCAGGGTTTAGTTCTTAACTTTTTTTTTTTTTTTTTAGCCCTTAACTCTTGTTGTCAGTCCTGTTTCATTATAACAAGCATGGTCAGTAGTTTTCTTTTTCTAAAAAATACTATTTACTACCAAGTTATTTTTTCAGATGCTAATGGGTTGCACTGGCAAGGATTTGCAAAGATTATATTATCAATAAATACGCCCCTCACCTACCAGTTATTAGAACTGATAAAGAAAGTTACCTGTTACTGATGAGTACATGTGCTGACATTACTAAATTATCTGTACCTATGCCTACATCTACTTATATCTATATGTATCTATGATATGTACATTTAAGGAGATAAAAAATAATGTACTCCTAAAAACTAGAATAGGAAAGTCTGTTCTTTATGATTTTTCCAGGTACTGCATTTTTCCTGTTATTTAAGATCATTTAGAAAATGTTATTTTGGGGCCGGGGATTTAGCTCACTGGTTCTGGTGCCTGCCTCGCAAGCACAAGGTCCCAAATTCGATCCCTGGTACCAAAAAAAAAAGAAAATGTTATTTTGTTTTATAAGTTTCACAGAGGTGTAATTTAAACCCACATGCATTTGATAATTCCTACTAATTAAATGTTTAGAGAGTATACATCATATTATAGTGCATGTGTGAGTATATAAGTCTCTCTCTCTCTCTTTCTTTTTTCCTTACTGTACTGAGGATTGAACCTAGGGCCTTTACACTAAGCTACATCCCCAGCCCTTTTTTAATATTTTGAGACAGGGTCTCACCAAGTTGCTGAGTTACCCAGGCTAAGCTCAAACGTTTGACCCTCCTGCCTCAGCCTCCCAGAGTGCTGGGATTACAGGCATATGCCAACATATTTGGCTACGGGTCTCTCTTTTTAGGCAGTATGCTCTTCATTAAGGCAGATCAAAGTAAAGCCTTAATCATTAGATAATGCAAAGACTTTATCCTTTTAGATTCTCAGAGTCTCTGGCAGCTTGTCATACTAAATCATCTAACAACATGTAGGTTTAATTAGGAAAAGTGACTTTTTTAAAAGCTACCCACATTACTTATAAAATTTGCTATTAGTCATCTCTTGACTTGGCATAAACATTTGTTCTCTTATAAGTATGCACTTTTCACTCATTTGAACCATCCTTAAAAGTTTACAAAGTTGACTTTACTCAGACTAAGGCATAATTGAAATCTAACAAATTAATTAGAGCTGGGTTTAGAATGAACACACTAGTCCCATCTCATACCTACAAAATTAGACTGCCTTTAATTATAACCCTGGGATCTTGTTACTTAATTCTGAATCCATGATGAAAATCTACAAGGACTTCTCGTACATATATATATTATATATATATATATATATATAATATGTATATGCATATGTAGTCTTACACATATATGAGAAATACATGGGTAAATAGAAATCAAAGATATATGTGTATCTTTTACTGAATCATAACTTGAAATATTCCGTGAACTCATTTACTTCTATTGACTCCCAGAAGTCTAACTGCAAAACTAGCTTCGGAACCTGTGACAGCCGCACCCTGCCCCGACTGGCCTAGTCTGTTGTCTGCCATCACTTAGTGCAAGACAGATGCTATAATTTGAATGAATCTAGAATTCATCTTTGGCATTGTGAAGTCATTGGTATTTATACAGCATCAGTGTTGAGACTGTGATACTTTAAATATAAAAAGGAAATATGTGATAGAACCGTTGCTGACAGATGCTTGTAATGATTGAAAGGAAAATATCTCACTATTTTGAGATATAGTTCTGTCTCATTCACCTTTTTCTATTCCTGTCATATGTTTGATGGTGGATTTGTGGTTTGGTCTGATTGGTCTATTTTGCTTGTGCTTATTCTTCAGGCAATTGATTACTGTTAATCATCAAAGCTATTTTCACACACAGTTCTCTATATAATTAGAACAGTTTTCTGCTCTATTACAATTAGGAAACGAATGGAATATGAGTATAAAAAGAGAACTGGACTTGAAAGAGACAAGTACACATTTATAAGGTTGTACTTTTAATAGATAAGATAATTCTACATAGAAATATCCTCTTTGGAAAACTCTGTGTCAAAGTTTTTATCTGTTAATAATGTATCCTCTGAAAGCCAGGCATGGTGGTACATGCCTTTGCTCGTATCATTCAGGAGGCTGAGGCAGAGAGATCACTGCTAATTTAGGCTAGCTTGGGCAACATAGTGAATTCCAGGACAGCTTGGAATATATACTGAGACCCTGTGTCAAAAAAAAAAAAAAGTGCCCTCTGAGTAAATACAGAGAGAGAAAGGAAGAGTCCTAAAACAATTAAAAGCTATAGAACTAGGGATGTAGTTCAGTTGGGAGAGCATTTGCCTAGGATGCTCAGGGCCCTGGGTTCCATCCCCAGCATTATAAAAAACAAAACAACAAAAACCAAAGAGCTATGCAGCAACAGTGTCTTCTCTTCTGTCTTTGGTTTCCTATTTGCCTCTCAAATTCTAATCAGCTTTTTTCTATTTCTTACATAATTTATGTGTGTATACTCTTCTTATATGTACAAGAGAAGTTTTTAATGCTACAAGATTCGTTAGTGCTTAGCAAAAGCTCTGCATTATTAATATTGTTTTTGTTCTAATTACATGTGAATTAAATGTTTGTTAATAATTTGATTTGGAATGTTACATGTGACATTTATACCACTATAGGAATTACTAACATTTCTGTAATGTTTTTAAGCGTCACATTCTTTTCGGCTGGAGATTTAGCTCAGTGGCAACGTGCCTGCCTTGCAAGCACAAGGTCCTGAATTCCATCCCCAGTACCAAAAAAAAAAGTTAAATTCTTTTGTACATCCCAAGTGATCATTTTGGAACATGTGACATATATTGATTCTTTCAGTCTTCTGAATTACGTGTTTCCTCCAAGGTTTTTTTTGCTGTTCATAAGTGTTTTCGTAACAATTTAAAGTAATCCAGTACATATATATCAGTATTTTCATTATCTACAAAGAGCAATTCATTTTTAATGCATTTTTCTAAAGTCTAATTGTCATTGTATTTTAATAGTTTCCTGTTACATACAGCTTTTATACATGTAAATAAATTTTGTACTAAGTAATTATTTATTTTTTGTTTCATGTACAAATTCTTCTGCATATAACAGCATATGCGATTATAGGGATTAAATCTTAACAACACACTGTGTGTTTTCAAAACAATGTTTAGGGCTGGAGATTTAGCTCAGTGGTTCCGGCACCTGCCTCGCAAGCGCAAGGTCCCGAGTTCCATTCACGGTACCAAAAAAAATAGAGAATCAAAACAGTGTTTATATCTTTTATCCAATGGGGCTGGCATTCTGTTTAAACAATTTAGGTGCACTTGGGAAAGTGTTATTTTATTCCTTAAAACTGTTTATTTTTCTGACCCATATTGATACATGATTTAAAAATCAAAATATAGTAATGTTACACGAAATTATAGAAGCAACATAGTACTTGTACCTTAAGAGAAACACATTAACTAATACAAACATAAATAAGTGAATATGAGTTTTTTGTAGGGGCCAGGGTTTGGAAAGGAACCCAGAGCCTGTGCATGCTAGGCAACACCCCCAGCCCTGATTACTATTAAATATCATTTGCTACACCCTCAGCTACACCTCCAACCCTGATCATTATTAAATATCACATACTTCTAGTTAGGCATTTAGACCACGTTAAAAAATTTTTCAGTCTAAGTGGGTTATATGGAAATGTTAACAGTTACACTCCTTAAAATTACTTTTTTTGAGAAAATGAGAAAACAAGCCACAGACTGACAGATAATATTTGCCAAAGACACTCTTGATAAAGTACTGCTATCCAACCTATACAATGAATACTTAGGAGCCAGATGTGTTGGCATACACCTCTAATCCCAGCACTCTGGGAGGCTGAGGCAGAAGGATGGTAAATTAGAGCCCAGCCAGGGTAATTTAGTATCAGCAAGATTCAAAATTTTAAAAATTAATTTGGGAGGATGAGGCAGGAGGATTGCAAGTTTGAGCACAGCCTGGGCAACTGAGTAACTTATGAGATCTTGTCTCAGAATTAAAAAAAAAAAAAAATTAAAAGGGGCTAGGGATGTTACTCAGTGCAAAGCCCTGGGTCCAGTTCTCAGTATGCATAAAGAAAGTAATAAGGTAATTAATTCATTTAAAAGGTCTGAGGATGTAGCTCAGTGCAAAGGCTCTGTATTCAATCCCCAGTACCTCAAACATAAAAAACAAACACTTAAACTCAACAATAAGAAAACAAGCGATTCCACCACTCCCAGCCCAGAAGAAGGGGCCTCCAGGCTGCCATTCCACTGATTCCAGTGCAAAGGAAGGGGTCACCTGGCTGCCATTCCACCGCTCCCAGCACAGAGGAGGTGAGCCGCGCAGGCACCAACAGCACCCCCACCACCCATCAAAATGAGAAGACAAATAAGTCTCAAAACCAGACTTCCAGATCACCTACAGCAACCCCAAAGGGAAATGAGATGGAACACTCTAATATTCAACCACCTGGACTCCATGAACTGGCAACAAAAGATCTGGAAAATATGAAATCAGAAATAATTTGTCAGATAACAGCAGAGATTGTGCTCATAGTACAAGACATGATTGATAAATCTAGAGAGGATCTGAGGAACATGATGGAATCCCAACATAGGAAACAAATGGAATCCATAAAACAGATGCAAACAGA